CAGCTTCATGAGGGTGACCTCCACTGACATAACGCCTCTGTCTGAGATACACTCTACTACAAACGAACCCAACCCAAACCAAAAATACCGACAATTTTGGAGACTAGATCAGGTCCAGCCGCATCATAGGGGGGAATCTACTGACACAGTTTTAACTGTGCAGGTCAGATTTATGCCTTTGATCTTCTAGATTCCTCTCTCCCAAGCACTCTGTTTAGTGACCACTTTCCTCCCTTCCCTCCATTTTCGATAGGGGGAGTTCTCCGGGGGCGTATTTATTTCCTATGAAATTCCACAGAGGAATCAGTATCAGAGCCTAAATTGTGAGACTCCAAAGGATTTTTCAGCGTCTGATTTTCAGAAGTAGATTGGTAGGCTTCTCTTCTGAGGACCTCTGGGTAGGCTCCACCCACCAAGTTTTGCATAAGCAGCTGGGCCTTTTAGCCATTTGTACCACCCAGGGACCCTACTCCCCACCACAGGCAAAATTCACAATTCCCGCCTGTGCAACACGACTTAGAGGGTTTTCTTTGGAAGATGGCAGTGGCTCCTTATTTACAGGCCCTCTCACACTCCACACAGGTGATTAACGGACTAGTTCTGCATTGTTCTGGACAAAGACCCTTTGATTTATGAGTTCGCAGCAGTTAGGAGCCATGCGTTCCTTCTAGAAGTATTTATTCTGCTAGTCACTGTGCTGAACACTGGGGAGGCAGTGGGGCGTAATGGAACCACCAGTTCCTCCCCTCAATGAGCTTAGCTTTTGGTTGGGGATGTGAGGAGGGCCAGTCAACACCCAAAATGAGTAACATGATGATAAGCATTCCAAAAGGAAGAAAGAAAGAAAACAAAGAAGAGAGAGGGAGGAAGGAAGTTTGTTATTTTGAACATTCATCAGGGTCAACTTCATGAAGCAAGGAATATCTCTTTCTGTTCTGGTCTGACCGCATGAGCAAGATTTAGTCTACTAACAACAAGTGTATGTGTTCTTATACTACACTCCTTAGAATGAAGTCCAGTTACTTTAGCTGTTCTGTGTATTAAAAAAAAAAACAACCCTCCAGACCCCAGTATAAATGAGAACATTACCAGTGTCCAGAGAACCCCAGTGAATTCATCAGAAGGACCTGTTCACATGGCTTGAGGCAGCAGTTCAACCTTTGTGCCAATGCTCTGGACCCTTTTACACAATCTAGGTTTGCTCCCAAATCTACCCGTTGCTGGTGAGCAGACAGTGGAGATGATTTAGCTTCCCTTGTTGTTGTGACTAGGTGCCATGCAGTCGGTTCTGACCCAGTGTGGTCCTACGCATGACAGAACCGAAGCACTGCCTGGTCCTGCACTATCCTCATAATTCTTCCTATGCTTCAGCCCACTGTTGCAGCCACTGTGTCCATCCATCTGGAGCTCCACCTAGTTAATGAAAAGAATACCTTCTGCCTTATGTGGCAGATACCTAATCTCCTGTCAACTTGCAAAGGGGTGGAGTCTAGCCTGTCAATCAGATCCCAGCTTGATGACATCATTTGGAGGCACAAAGGAGATAAGCAGCTCACTGGAGGCCAGATACTCTCTCTCTCTCTACTTTGTTGTCCTGATCACATGCCACATGGAGCTACACTGATGGAGCCAGAGCCCTGGAGCTGGAGGGGCCACGTGGATACCCATGCCAGTTCTGAGATGCTTCTGCCACCACTGGATCCATAAGACTTTCCACCCACTGGCCTGTGATCCTCCCGCAATGATTCAGCATCATTGCATGGCTGCGGCAATCTAAACAGGACTTTATGGGCTAGTATTGACATATGGGGTAATATCGGACTTATGGACTCGATCTGGACTGGGCTGGGATGTTTTCTCAATATACGATTTCTCTCTTATGGATTATTGCAGATAAAGTTTTTTTTTTCTTTTGGTGTAGGTTTTGTGTATATCACACACACATTTTCTAAACCATAAAGCAATCTATAAATAGAAGTCATTATTTTCATGGACAAAAGCCTGGAACAAGTGATGATGCTCTGATGTGAACAAGTGATAACTGAAGTTTTAAACTAATTATTCTTTTACTTTAGAATTGAGATGGCCCAAATTTAGACACAGGATTTTGTGGTCATTTGAGGAAAAGTAAGTGGGGTTAAAAGAATTTATCATTTCTATGCTATTCATTCATTCAGTCTTCATCAGTCCTATTTTGGAGAACCCTCTCTGGGTTTGATTCTGTAGGCATGATAGAGCCCCACAGGACACATAGGAGCCAGCCCTAGGATACGGCCATTGCTGTAGATGCAGTCGCCCAGGGCTCCCTGACTCCCGAAGGGAAAGCAGCGACTAAGAACCTGGACAGTACTGTAGGAGATGCGGCTCTGCATCTTGTTTCTGACACGTGATAATTACCAAGTTAATGTGTGGACTGCTTTTAAGCTTTTCATACTCTTTCTTGCTCATGGAAACGAAGATATCAGCCAATATACCTAGTGATGTGGAAATGCCCTGTAAGGAAAATACAAGCAAAACATACATTAGGGGTTTTTACTTCGTTATTGCTTGAATACATGATGATTGAGCATCCAGTGAGTCCCTCTGACTGTGGACCAGGGGTGTGAACAGCCTTGCTCTCAGGCAGAGGGCACCGTGAAGTGGATTATTGCAGATGCAGGTGGGTGAATATTTAACACCATACCATTTGATCTCCCTTTTGGCCTATTTAAAATTTGTTCTGGTTTTGAGGTTTTCTTCTGTTTTACTTTTATAATTTTGTTGTTGTTGTATGCTTTTCTGTATATGATATCCAGGATAAGTAAATCTACAGAGACAGTAACTGAGTGAGTGGTTTCTTGGGTGTCTGGCAAGGAAAGTTGGGGGGAAATGGGGAAGGCATAACAAGGAGTATAAGAAAGAAGAAAACATTCTAAAATTGATTGTAGTCATGATTATACAACTCTTCTTTATATGATGGAACTATTGCATTGTATATTATGTGGATTATGTGCAAAAAACCTGTTTTTCTTTTAAAAATTAAAAACCAATAAAAATTAATTCCATTTGGATTGAAAACCAACAAACGAACAATAAATAAAATGTGACTAACCTATTCATTTTCCCATTCAACACAAGGAAAAATAAGACTCATAATAATTTTACAGAAAGCAATGTGGTCATGTCAACATGGCTTTGGAATGAAACAAAAAGTTAATATACCGCCCCCCCCTCCAAAAAAAAAACAAACAAACATAGAAGAATGGATAGATACAGATCAATATATAAATAGTTTCAAACAGAAATATACACTCAAAGTGTAGATGTGAGCAAAAAAGAGAAGAAAGTTACTTCAGGTCTCTCACCTGTTTATGTAAAATAAATAAAAATAGGACAAATGAAATTAATAGCAATAAACTGAATTATATTAAAAAATGAGACCATTATTCAGAGACAAATATAGAAAAGGAGAAGAAGGTATTAGACAATAAATAACCTTTTTGTCGGGCTGAGGGAGTGTCAAATAGCCTATGATTGAGGCCCATATTAATTCTGCAGCTTCGTACCACATTCCTGGGGGGGGGAAGAGAGCGAGCTGTAAGACAGGGGAGAAACTGCTGGTATCACTGCTGTCCTATTAGAAAACATCTACGGGCCGAAGCCCAGCAAGGCCCGCCCACCATTCAGACCCTGCCCGCCCGGCCTGCGGTCCAGCTGGTGTACACATTCTGAGGATGGCCCGGGGCAGACCCCCAATTCTCTCCGCCTGGCCTGGGAGAGGGAAGGGCTGCAGGCTGGGTTTGCTAATTAAAAGGAAAAAAGAAGAGAAAAGAAAGACAAGAAAGAGGGGAGAGACAGAAAACCCTCAAAAATGAAGGTGACTACAGAAAGCAGATTTATTGGATCCTATTAGGAGAACTCGGGGATGGATTAGTTGGACTGAGCAATGTTTCCCCAGTCTGCTTCACACAGACACAGGGAAACAGGGAGAAGGTCTCCACTGTGGACAAGAGTACCAATTTCCATCCTCTAAAAACTGCTCAACGTTTTGTTTGCATTTTAAAGCAAATAAAATTGAAAAATTAATCTAAGTACCCATCAGTGAAGGTCTTGGTGGGTTTAGAGTGAGACACAAACATATCCCACAATGTCCTGCTGAACTGAGAGTCAGAGGTTAGAAGTCATGCTGAAGGCCTTAGGGCATATAGATATAAATTTCTTTAACAAAATCAGTAGAAAAATATGCTTATCTTATTAATTTTCATTAAACTACAAAATCTCAGATGCTAATCTCTTTTGGATGAAGAAACTAAAGAAACTGAGTGTTAATCATACGGACTAGATACATGAAGAAAATTCTACAGTAAGACTTATTGGTCAGACTTTATAAAGGAACCTCTGGAACAATAAATGTCTAATGAAATGTACCTAGCTTTTGTAGAATCTGCCCTCTGATCTGTATACAAACGGACTGCACCAGGACTTTGTCACTTTCATTTCTGTACAGCCAAGTACCTAAAATAAAACATGGAGACAGAAAATGAATTTTGGTCTTGAATTATTAAAGAAGTGGTTTGGCAGATGAAATTACTCTGGTAGATGCCTTCAGGTGTACACGTGATACAGATTTCAGAAACGAGCTCTTCTCTCCAGGGAAGATCCAGTTCAAAGTTTGCTATAGCTCACAAGGCCCTACCAGAATGATTTCCCATCTGGTCTCCGACTCTTCATCCTTTGCCACTGAGCTTTCTTCACCCTGACTTCATTTGTGGTCCTTGTGGTAGTAAGAGGTCTTCCCCATGGTCTCTGCACGTGCTGTTACCTCCGCCTGGGATTCCCTCTTCTCTGGCTCTTTGAAAGGCCAGCTCCCTTGCCTTCTTCAAGTCTCAATATCAATGCAATCGCCTCCCAAGTCCCGTCAACTTGATTTACAAGATAACAGTGTTATCCTACTTATCTTGTGGTTGCTTCCTCATCGAGGATGCGACACCTAAAACGGGTTGGGATATCAAGACGGATGACTGTAGACACATACACCAAAAAGGCATAAAAGAAGTTATAACTCACATAATGAGGTTTTCTGGGCAGAGAGGGCAGTCACCCTATTGGACCTGAACAAAGACGAGGAGCGAGTGGTTCTGGGTTTTGTGGTGGTCAGGAGGTGGGTTTGGAATAACATTTTTTGAAAGCTTGGCTGAGGGTTCTAACTAAGAATATGCTTTAACCTAAATATCCAAAATATATCAACATGTATAAAATAACAAATATAAAAACATTCACCCGATCCTTTTCTCGTGGCGGCCTGAGGTGATCTGTCAAAATGGTTCACTACTCAATTGAGGCAGAAAACCCCACAAAATCATGCAAATCAAGAGGGTTGAATCTTTAGGTCCATTATAAGGACACCTATAAAACTGCCCGGGCCATCAAGAGTATGCCTATCCGGAAAGCCACCAAGTATTTGAAAGACGCCACTTTCCCTTCTGACATTACAATGATGGACTTCGTAGGGGTGCCCAGGCCAAACAGTGGGGTTGGACCCAAGGTTGGTGGACCAAAAGGAATGCTGAATTTTTGTTGCACCTGCTTAAATATGCCAAGAGTCCCGCTGAACTGAAGGGTTTAGACGTGGATTCTCTGGTCACGGGCACATCCAGGTGAACAAAGCCCCCCAACATGCACCACCGGACTAACAGAGCTCATGGTTGGATCAATCCATCCACTGAAATGATCCCGACTGAAGAGGAACAAATTGTTCCTAAATCAGAAGAGGGGTTTGCACAGAAGGAAAAACTATCCCAAGAGGAACTGGAAGCAACAACTTACCGCTTGGAAGTAAATGAATCTTGAAATAAAAGTCAATAAAAGTGAAAAACGATAACACAGTCATGAGAAAATTTTGCATTATTATCCCCCTTCAACTTTATTGGCTTTTATAGGAGGGTTTATGGATTACATCATTTTTGTAATTGACAAGCTACCAACCCCCCCAGTGACTTGCTTTGTTTCCATCCTTTTGTCCCTCTCCCTCTTGTTGTGTATTCCCCCCACCCCCTTTCATCCAAGTTGACATCTATATGTTAACCTGGTAACCTTCCCCTTATACTCTTGGTAACCATCAAAGTCTATTTCTTTTGGTGTAAGAGTCTTTTCTGATTTAAAAAAGTAGCAGTGGTCTCATATGATGTTTGTCCTTCTATGATGGACTAATTTCACAGGTGGAGGGTTCCGATCAGCTTGCCCAGATGTGGAGTCAGAGGAAGAGAAGTATCGGGTGAAAGGCTATCGGCATTCAAACACCAAAGAGAGAGTTGGAGATTTTATTACATCCACCTTCATTATTCTTTGTCATATCACCTTCTTAATTTCTTCCTAGATTTTAGTGTGTGTGTGTGTGTGTGTGTGTGAGAGAGAGAGAGAGAGAGACATAGTAGATGGGAAATATATGCCTACTCTAGGGTAGTTGTGGTGGCCACCAGTGAGGTGTGTGTAGTCAATATTTCCGTTCCAAACAGTATCACTACTAGAAACGTCCACATGCTTCAAGGAGATCAGGCCTAATGTCTACTTGTACTGAGTTTAAATGTCTACTGTCAATTGTGTTCCACTTACTGGAAAAACACGTTCATGTAAATGCCCAGACGTTCAGAGAGATAGCTGAAATGTGAAATCGTGACCCCGCTATCCTGAATTGGTTCCTTCCATGTTTACTTAAATGTTGAGAGGACATTCATTTCAAAATAATCTTTTACTAGAGATTTTTATATTGCAAAACCAAATTTATTTGCAAAAGATTTAAATACATTAAGCTCACTCTTTTAACTCTGAGCCATATATTCCTAAGCACAATGACTTTAAGTTTGCAGCAGAGCCCTTCCCAAGGCCCACAGAATTACTCGCTCTAACTGCTTCTTTCCATTAGATGACACACTCTCCAATCAAACAGTATTAGCAGCCTTAAAAAATGGAAAAGAAGGGACGGCAGACGGAAATGCTGCTTGACCAAAGTCACATCATTCACCAGTGGCCAAGACCATCCCAGGTGGTTCTGGGCTCCTCTCATCCTCAGTAGCTATTAGGTCATTGAGTTGTTCTTAAACTAGGAGTCTGGTACCACCTGAGGGTACAAGCCACTGTTAAGAAATAAATGTTTCTATGACAAAATAATTTGCAAATTATTATTATCAAGGATTCATGGGGGAGGGCAGAGCGGGAAGGGAGGGGGAAAGAAGAGGAGCTGATGTCAGGGGCTTAAATGGAGAGCAGATGTTTTGAGAATGATGAGGGCAATGAATGTACAAATGTGCTTTACACAATTGATGTATGTATGGATTGTGATAAGAGTTGTATGAGCCCCTAATAAAATGATTTTTTTTTAAAAAGAAGAAGAAAGAAATGTTTCTTACCTGTTGCACCATTGTTGCTTATTAGACTGCTTAGAATGTACTCGGCTTTTAAAAGTTTTCCTGAAAAGACAAAACATAATTCAACCAACCAACCCAAACACAAAACCTTCAAATTCTACACAACTAGGTCTGAACAGCCTACAAATTGTTCATGCTCCAATTTTGACAGGTTTCACCAGGTACACACCATAATCTTGTATTGAGACCTTTTATTTAAAAATCCATCATCAGGAACCACGTTATAGATAACATTTACAAGGAGCAATAAAGTCTTCAGAAGTTGGTAAACTGGGAAGCGGCATAATATCTGGAATGGTCATTAGGTTCTTAAAAGAACCATTTCTAATTCGTCATATAAAGCAGGGCATGCGCAGCAGTGGCAAAGCCGTGTAAAAGAAGTCTGCTCTTGGTGGAAGCTAGAGGCAGGCCTGGGACTGCACAGGTTCACCAGAGGCTTTTGGAGGGAGGGATGGGATGGTGGAGTGGCCATTTTTCAACTGACTTATTTTTCTTACTACCTCCTAGAAGAGGCCTGATCTATGTAGAACTGTTATTGATGTCTTTAATAACCAGGAAACCTATATGTATTTTTAATAACTCCCTTCTTACAGTTGCCTTCAAGGCATTATAGGAGCTATCTAGCCCCTGTGACCCTTTCCAGCTCACCTTTAACGCTCCTTTCCCTAGGCCTCACGGTCTGCATGTTAGTCACTGTGATTTGCTCGCGGTCTTTTGAACGTGACAGGCAAGCTCTCACATCAGGATCTTTGTACTTTACTATTATTTTAATTTGGAATCATTTTAGTCCTGATATTTTCAAGGCCTCTTCTCTTTCCCCCTGGGTCTTTACTCAAATATATCAATTAAAAACAAAAACAAAAAACCTCCCCTGAAACAAAACTCCCCGCCCTTGAGTGGATTCTGAGTCTCTATTCTAGGGATGCCATGTAGACTGTCATAGAATTCCTTTCTTTACATAAACTCAAACTCACTGCCACTGGGTTGATGCGGATTCTGTAAGGCCACCCTGTAAGATGGGGCGGAACTGCCTCTGTCGGTTTCTGAGACTAACACTGTAGGAATAGGAAGCTCTGTCTTTCTCACACAAAGCAGCTAGTGGTTTTGAACTGCTCACCTTGCGGTTAACAGGCCGACGCATAAACACTGTGCCACCAGGGCTCCTCCGACCTCATACGGTTTCCTTTAATTATCCTGTTTCAAATTGTTCATTGAGATACATAGTCTGGGTTCTGGTAAATTGTGTTCCCAAAGAAGATCACAGCAACAGCATCCACCTGTCCTCTTATACAGTGTGATTTTGCCATTCCTTAATCATGAAGTGGAAGCTAGCATGAATTATTCTTTTCCCCGGGTCTGCTTTGGCCTTGTGACCTATTTACACTAGTGGAATGAGGGATGATGGAAACAGTGTATCATTCTGGGCTGGACCAGAAGAGATATGTAATTTCTACCGTCACCCCTTGAGGCCAAGCCACCATGCTGTGAAGAAGCCCATGAGCAACACGGAGAGGCCAATGCAGAGATGGCCCTTTCCTGAGAGCCCCAGATGAGGTCCTGGCTGGCTGCCAATAACAAATCTCTACTGTGTGCATGAGAGTGCTTTGTACTTTTGAACTATTCCAATTCCACATACTACTTAACAGAATCACCTAATCAAACTACAGAATTATGAGAAATGGTCAATTGTTATTACTTTAAGTAACTCAGTTATGGGATGGTTTGTAACATGGCGATAGTCTACAAACAATAAAAGAATGTGGGTTCTGTTACAATAACAGCAATTGGGTACCTAAAAGTAGGGTATTGCTGTAACAAAAATGTAAACTCTATGGCATTAAGTTAGGGCCATGGGTCAGGTCGAGGCATGAGGGTGGTGAGGAGACTGTTGTTGGAGAATGAAATGGCAAAGTGGACATCGTTACTGGTAGTTGAGACAAAAGAACACACATCACAAAATGGCAGGAGTTCAGCAGCACAGTTTTCTGTAGCAATGTGAAAAACAAAATGTAACTAATGACCTTACAGCTATCGCTGAAGAGATTTATAGGAGGAATATTGAAATAGCTTCTTTTAGCTGCTGAGGACAAAGTGCAAGAAGGAAGACATGAACTAAAGAAGGAATTATTTCATTTTTGAGCAGAATATAGAGGCAATGTAGAAGGCCCAGAAGAATATTTCCAGACAGTCTCCACATAAACAAAAGCATGGGGACAAACATCAAGGAGATTGCCAGTAAACTGTGACCTGAGGGTCAGGATCAAATCAAGGATATGAGTGTAAAATCCTTTGGTAAGGTGTTCCACCCTCAAGACCAGACAAAGGAACTTCTAAGAACATTAAAAATGCCGCCTCATAGAACTTTGATTTGCAGTCTGAGGTAGAACACAAAGGTAATTATAAATATGCTGTTGTCTAATTTAATATCAACACACAAATATCCTTTAGATCTTTAATATTTCCTTTCCTTACTCTTATGGTCTTAGGTTCACCTCATTAATCTTGTGAGACCTATGTATGTTCAATTGGATAATTAAGCTTGTTCGATGCATGAAATCCAAGATAGATAACCCCTGCAGAAATAGTAATGGTAGTAATGACTCCCTGAGGGTAAGGGAAGAGGTGTGTGTGGGGAGAAGGGTGAATCAATAGCAATGATGACTGTATAACTACACCTGAGGGAAAGGAATACAGAACAGATAAGGTGAACAGATACATTGGATGGTGTAAGATATGGCAAAATAATAATAATAATAATAATAATAGTTCCTAGGAGGTTGGTTGGGGAAAGAGATAAAGGGGAGATGGTATCAAAGAATTCAAGAACAAAATGATGGTGGCAGCAACTGTACAATTATGCTTGATCTAATTGATCTGTAAATAATATCTGTAAGAGCTCCCAATAAAATGATTGGGGGAAAAAGGGGGGAGGGAGGCTATAAAATATTTAAAGAAATTCTATCAACTGTTGAAAAAGAGCAGTGTTCACTTAAAATGATGAGCGACTCTGGCGCACCCAACTTTCTGTGGGTGGGCTCAGGCTGAGGAAGACTTGGTGATAAAGAGCTTTGTGTTCCTAAAGAATGTCTCATACAAAAGAAAGAATGACTCAGCAGGTGAATCTCAGCGTTGCAGGAACCACTCTCTGAGAGGCTCCTCCCTGCCATCAAGTCAATTCCAACTCATCATGACCCCTCTAGGGGCAGGTCTACCCCTGTGGGTTTCTGAGCCTGTAACTCTTTACACCGTTCTTCCTGAGAGTGGTTGTTGGTTTCGAACTGCTGACCTTGCAGTTAGCCACCCAATGCTTAAGCACTATGCTGTCAGGACTCCTCTCTCTGAGAGAAGTGGCCCTTACACAAGGAGCAGTGAATTATTTAATGTGGCTTTTCTAGCTAAAGTCTTTAGCTCCCATCAGACAACCTTTCCCTGCATAGGTCTGGTAAGAAGGTGGGGGGAAATACTGATAGAAATCACCTGAGAGTAATTACGAATAGGAGTCTCTGCAGTGCTATCCGGCTGTGTATAAAATGAGCCCTCTGAGAAGCAGGAGTAGGAATCTCGCTGGCAAGAGACAGGAATAGCGCTTGTCTTCTGGACCCAAGATCCTCGTGCTGTGAACCTCCTGGATCCAGATACCAGCGATACCAGCAGAGGAGCAGCAGCAGAACCAGGAGCCTGAGCCTGGAACATAGTGATGGACTGCCCAACCCACTGAACACATTAAGATCGAGAGCTTCTGCGCAAGGGATTGGTGTGTGGAATGGGGTGCCTCTGGGTACTGAATTCAGGAAGTTGGGCTTGCTGACTCAAGGGAGGGGAGCTAAATGCCTTCAGCCCGAAGCTCACTGGAGTGGGGTGCCTTTGGACACTTAATTCATGGAGCTCATTTTATTGACCCATGGACCTGGAGCGGAATGCCTTTGGGTTAAGGCTTAGAGCCAAGTGGAATGCCCCTTTGGGTATTTATTAGCAGACCCCAAACTTTGTAATATGTGCTGGAGAACACTACCCTGAGCACTTCGCACTGGCATGACAATTGGTTAACTTCCTAAATAAACTCTTTAATCAAAAATTTTGTCTGTGAATTTGTGTAGCCATTGCAATGAACATTAGAACCTAGGGATAAAATAGAGACTACTAATAAATCCCATACTTCTTTTT